ACTGCCCCCTCTGCTGTCCTGGTAGATACCAAATGCACCCCTTCTGGCCTGGTAGCCTCTCACAGCCCCCGCTACCACCCGCCGGGTGGTCACCCCACACAGCCTGCTGCTCAGTCATTTGGACGTGCCTCGCTAACCCCCATCAGCTTTGTCACCCCTCTCAGCCTGTTTGGTCATCCGTTTGATTGTTTCAGCCCCTGGCTCTTTATATATATATATGAATTGTTTTACTTGCTCTATCAACTTTCTACCATATATGTGAAATAAAACTCAGTTCCTAAATTAATCAACCTAATGTCCCACAGCTTATTAGTGGAAGAGCACCCTGGTTATTAAGTATTCAACTTGGTTTTAAACATTACCATGAGCAGCTCCTGCTTCATTAACATCTACATGGATTGAGCACATCAATCACTATCTCTTGGCACCTAATATTTTCCCATGATGTTCCAAGCTCCTGTGTAAATCAGCATCTCATGGGTTTTCTCTCCTACCAAACATCCTAGGGAATTTGGCTCCAATCATTTCTTGGGGAGTGAAGTGCTGAAAAGACACATGAACTGGAGAAACACATACCCCATTTTAATCTGTTCTCTTCTACTAATTAGCTGTGGGACATTGGGACATATCTCATAAGTTTATAAATTTCTTTAACTCCCTGAAGGAATTCTTTCTTTTATGATATTTTTTCAAAATTAACTTGAATAAATATACCTATGTGTGTGTATGTGTGTGTAAGTATAAGTGTGCATCTACATAACTTTCCCAGATTTTTCTTTTTCTGACCTATTCCCAATAAAGGGCCTTAAAACAGTTCCAGCCTCCATGTAAAATGTTCTGTAACACAAGACTGGGACTGGAGTAGACTTGATAGCAAAGTTTGGGAACTTGACAAATGAGCTTCAGTGGAATCATTTTCTGTTCCTCTCAAGGGCACACATCCATCCCAAGGGACACGGACACAGCTCATACTTTTCTGAGATCATGAGAGCAAACATTTATTATATTGTGCAGAACACTTAAATAGGTGCTTTACATTGGTTGACAGTTTCTCACAAAGATCTTTAAGAGTTAGGTGCAGTTTAAAATCCAATTTTTATTTTATGAGAAGAAACAAAAATAAATCCATCATTACACACCTTGTAAGAGAATAGACAGGATTTAAACTCAGACACTCTGAACATAAAATGTTCACTCTTGGTACATATATTACATTTGTTCCCTCCCCCTAAACTCTCCGGACAACCTGCTGTATGTTGGGCAACAAATAGATATACACTAAAATACTATTTAGTTCTGGAATGATTATGGATTGTCCTAGAGTCATGGTTAATGTCTCTTCAAGTTAGGGTTAAAGAAAATGTGGAAAAATGGGAGGGTAGAGGTATGATACTAATACTTTTCTGTTGATAGGAGGATTTAGATACCTTTTGCTGATAATATAGGAAAGGGTAGCTGAGTAAATAAGCTTCTCTTCTAACCCAAGAATCAATAAATGAAGGGAGACAGCAAGGAGGAGAAGGTCTGAATGGAGCAGTGAACTCAGGTGCAGGAGATGAGCCCCAGGACAAGGGTCACTACACAGAAGTGAGTGAGGGAGGGAGAATGTTCAGGAGCTCGGTGGGCACAGAGTCATGGGAACTGGGCAGTTCCAAGGATTGAAATAGGGATAAACAACCTGAGAAAAGTGACATTTAGAGAATTTGTAGATGAGTGACCCATGGTTTGTGACATTAAAAAATGAGACAGTGCTTGCTTCATAGTCTAGGAAAACCCCTACTCGGCGGGGAGGAACAGCCATGGAAAGAGTCAAGACCTTGGGATCAGAGGTAAAAGAGTCCTCAAAGGCATTGTACTCAGATGCATTCTGTAACCCTACAACCCAGTAGCCATTTTCAGGTCTGAATCTGGAGTAAGCATTTGGATAATTTGTCTGGGGGTTAAAAACAAACCCAGAGCTTTTCTTTCCATTGAGATTGCTTCTTTTACTGTATACCCCCAGAATCCAGGCAATTTTCCCAGACACGTCAACTTCCCAGTAACATTTCCCAGAAGAGAAATTTTGGCTGCCCCATACATCAAAAGCAGAAAAGTTACATGGGTATACATTCCTAAACATAACATCATTCCCAACAGTCACTTGTCTCTGATCCTCAGAAACGACAACATTGGAAACATCATTGAATGGATTCAGCGTCAAGTCCACTGTAGGAAAAATTACATAGTCAGGTGAATTAAACATGGCATGTGTCTTGTGATATTTTGAGGAGGAATATGGGAATTGACTGGGAGGAACATGAGTTAATGGGTCAGTGAGGAGTAGATCAGTTAAGAACTGTTGTATGTATGTCTGTGTGGGTGGAACACATGTAATTGAGATCATGGGACCTAAGAGTAAGCACAGCTTCTGAAATGGGATCAGAACATGGCGATTTGAAGAACCTGTAACTTCTTACCCCAGTAGCTTTGGACTTCTGCCAGCTCTGAAATGACAAAAGTTTCAATGATGATGTTAGAAGCAAAGGAGGAAACTCTGATAACCTGCCCTTTCTCTTGAGAGGGTGGGGAAGCCTCTGAGGCTGTCAGCTGGGGAAGGAGGACACCTGGCCATTCCCAAATATATGTGTCCACATCTTCAGCACATGGTCTCTATGTCTTCTTGTGAGGCCTACGTCCTCTCTTTTATCCTCATATAGAAACAACATCCATTCCTCCACGTGCTCTGGTACTGTAAGAATCTCACACACCCTTCCTCTGGTTTTCCTCACCTTTAAACACTTGCAGCATCCCATTCAGATCTGGAAATCGGAATGTACTTAGTTTCTTGGAAACAATTTTTGGCTTCTTCAAGGTCCAGATCTCGCTCCTAGAGAAGACAAAAATTGATCCCTCACACTTCTTACCTTTTGTCTCTCCAAGACCACTGTCTTTCTCACCTTTCATTCCATTGATGCCTTCTCACTTGAATCCTCTTCAATGAAGAACCTAAGGGAGGGACAGATGAAAGCCCTGACACTGCAACCAGAAGAAATGTCTTCATGTCTACCTTTCTATCTCCCCTCTGTGTGACCTTGGGAAGAACTTATTCTCAAGAAGCTCATGTTCATCCTACCAAAATGAAATAATAATAATAATAATGATAACCCCATACTCTCCATTTCTTAAAATAATACACTATTAGATGTATTGGTGGTACCTTTAAAAGTTTGGTGCCTCCAATAAAAAGTATTTCACATATGGAGGAGTCACTGCCATCTCAGTGGTTCCTCCAGGAAGAGGCCAGAGATGAAGGTCCCCAAGCAGATGCTTAGTGGAGAGACTCTAAAACCTGGCTACTGAGAGCTTTAGGTTATCAAGTGGGGGGCTTCTGTACTGCAAGTCTGAAGTGTTTTCTAAGTCTATTAATCCAATACAGATGCTGAGCATAACATAAAATGTCACAGCCTCTGGGGAATCATTACAAATATTTGAGAAAGGAGAAGTTAATACATCAAAATTAATAGTGGTCTGAATTTCATGTGCTTGATGCTGCCAAGTGTGTATGCAACTTTAGTCAAAGAAAGACACCTTTCCTACAAGTTGCTAATATGTGTAAACAAAAAGAGATGTATTATTGACACCAGAACTAAAGCCATTATTCCCTGAGACTTGTATCTTTCCTTTCCTACAAGTTGCTAATATGTGTAAACAAAGAGATTTATTATTGACACCAAGACTAAAGCCATTATTCCCTGAGACTTATATCTTTCTTCTTTCTTTCCTTTCTTTTTCTTTCTTTCTTCCTTTCTTTCTTTCTTCCTTCCTCTCCAAAAAACATCACCTAGAAAGATCTTGTTTCTTCTATTATTAGGGTGAAAAAGAAATATAAAGAAACCATCTTTGTGGAAAATTTGGGGGCCTAGCAGAGAAAAAGGAAAAGATCCTTCCCGTGATAAGACAGGCACCTATTAAGTGTAGAAGCAAGAGACTAAGGTTTGACTAAAATGAGTGAAGTCATGGAATTCTGATACTGTAACCTCTTATTTCTTTCTTTTATAAAATCACTTTTAATTTTTTTAATTACAGTTCACATACAATATTATATTAGTTTTGGTGTATATCCCAGTAATTAGACATTATCAAACTTATTAAGTGATCATCCCCCAAAAATATCATACACATATGACACCATACAGAGTTATTAGAATACTATTGAATATATCCCCTATACTATACTTTACAGCCCCATGACTATTCTTTAACTACTAATTTGTATTTCTAAATACCTTCAGATTTTCACCAGTCCCCCCAACCTCCCTCCCATCTGGCAACTGTCAAAATGTTCTGTGTATCTAAGTGTGGTTCTGTTGTGCTTGTTTGCTTATTTTGATATTTAGATTCAATTGTTGATAGATATGCATTTATTAACATTTTATTGTTCATATTTTTTAACCTTTCTTTTTATTTCTTCTTCTTAAACAAGACTCTTTAACATTTCATGTAGTACTAGTTTGATGACTATGAATGCATTTAGCTTTTTCTTGTCTTGGAAGCACTTTACCTGTCCTTCAACTCTAAATAATAACTTTGCTGGGTAGCGTAATCTTGGCTGTAGGTCCTTGCTTTCCATCGCTTTGAATATTTCATGGCACTCCCTTTAGGCTTGCAAAGTTTCTCTTGAGAAATCAGCTGACAGTCTTATGGGAACCCTCTTATAGGTAACTAACTGCTTTTCTCTTGTTGCTTTTAAGATTCTCGTTTTGTCTTTAATCTTTGGCATTTTTTAAATTTAATATGTTTTTTATTATTGACAGTTTTACTGATGTCCCCCATTTTTGCACACTTTATCCCCTCTCTACCCATTGCAGACTGTCCCCACACTATTGTATGTGTCCATGGGCTATGCATATAAGTATGTAAGTTATTTGATTTATCTCTTCTTGTCTCCCCTCCTCCCCCCTGAGATATGTCAATGTGGTCCAAGTCTCCATGCCTTGGTTCTTATTTTGATGGTCAATTCATTTTGTTCCTTAGATTTCACAAATAAGTGATATCATATGATATTTTTCTTGCTCATATTAGCTGATTTCACTTAGCATATAATAGTTTCCAGGTGGCATTTTAATTAAGATGTATCTTGGTATAGGCTTCTTTGGATTCATCTTGTTTGGGACTCTTATTTCTAATACTTCTATTATCCCTAACTCTGTGACCTCCCACCACCCAAATTTCATACCATTATAAAGTTTCACCTGTCATCAGCAGGTGAAATAATGTAATACCCAAGTTTCCCACATCTATGATTGTTTAAAATTATGATTTATTCAAGATTACTCTTATAGTTATAATTCTTTCATGACACAAAAAAGAGTATGCCTGGTCTCACATACACGTACCTTCTTATGGCGTTAATCACATCCTGGGAAGAAGAGAAAAAAAACATAAATCAAGAGTAAGGTTGACATATTTAGAAAATTAAAATGGTTAGTTAAAATTTAATTTGAAAATATCACAAATATGTTTTAGTGAAAACATGGGCTCTACAATATTTAAGATACTCTTCTAATAAAAAATAATGTGTTGCTTATCTGCAATTCAAATTTAACTACACATTCCTTATTTTGGCAACCCTCAAATGAATGATAAGCCCTCCTACCTATAAAGTTTTACTCACCTTCTTCCTCATACACTAGCACCCCCTAATATGTCTTGAATAAATAGATGATCAGAATAAATATATGGGGGGGGGGGATTGAAGAGAAAAGACCCAAAATAACCATCCTAGAGGACTCATGTGAAGATGTTAGAACGGTGTTTCCAAGATCTGGAGATGGAATATATTTAAAAGGCAGAGATGGGAGCAGAGGAGGCCAGGAGTGCAGCCACGCCAACATCCAGACCGACCTACACACCACCCTAGACCTGTGCAGGGGGCCACTTGCCAGCTACAATCTATGTGGAACCACCACTGAGCCCTGGCAATGAGTGGTGCAGTAGCACACTGCAGGCTTCCAGATATATGCAGTGAGCACTCGCCATAGAGACCTCCCAAACCATGCCTCCTTGCTGGTGTTCCCTGACCCCACACTGTGAGTGCAAGCCAGGGGTACCCTGAACCCCAGCCCCACTTAGACCCCAGGTTTTCACTGCTGTTGCAACCCAGAGCCACCAGGCATGTGCCCTGCCTGGGCCGCAGGACCATGCTGCTGGTGCAACATGGAGACACCTGGCATGCCAAGCCCTGGGTCACAGGACCATCTTGCCAGAATGAGCTGGAACCACCTGAAACCCCATCCAGACCCCCTAACTGCACTGCAAGTGAGCTGCCAGAGGAACTAGGGCACCACCCTGCCACTGTTGCTAGGAGGTCGGCACAGTGAACTGCATGCCAGAGGGATTTGGATCCTCACAGAGAGTCACACATAAGAGGAACTGTGCACATACCCCTGCCCACCTCAAGCATCTGCAGCAGACAGCAGAGGGACTAGATATATGGGAGAAAGGAGTACAACTCAAAGCAAAGACAATAAAGGTGTAAGACTCATGGCAGATCCATCCTCTGAGCTAAGGAGTCCCAGACTATTGAACTGGTAGGGGCTTCAACCTCTCAGACCCCAAGCAGGGTGCCCAGGGCCAGAAAGAGACAGCAAAGTGGGGAGACAAAGATACAATCCCCAAAGGAAAGAAAAGGTGGAATCTCCATAAAAAGAAATGAATGAAATGGAGGCCAGCAATATGTCATGGAAAGAATTCAGATTAATGATTATAAGGATGCTCAACTGTCTGGATGAGAAATTCATCAACATTTGTAAGAATTAAGTAGAAATAAAGAATGACATATCTGCAATAAGAACACAATGGAAGGCTTCAACAGTAGACCAGCAGAAGTAGAGGACTCAATCAGTGAGTTAGAAGACAAGGTCAATAAAAACACCCAATCTGAACAGCAATTGGAAAAAAATCAAAAAACAGGAGAGATAAAGGGAACTTTGGAACAACATGAAACAAAGCAAACTCTGTATAATAGGGGTGTCAGAAGGACAAGAATCAGAACAAGGAATAGAAAACCTATTGGAAGAAATAATGACAGAAAATTTCCCTGACTTGTGGAAGGAAAGTCATACAAGCACAGAGAGTCCCAAACAAGATGAACCCAAAAAGACCCACACCAAGACACATTGTAATTACAATGGCAAATGTTAATGACAATGAAAGCATCTTAAGGGCTGCAAGAGAGAGACAGAATGTTACCTACAATGGATCTCCCACTAGACTATAAAATTATTTCTCAACAGAAACACATCAGGCCATAAGGGAATGGAATGAGATATACAAAGTGATGCAAAACAAGGGACTGAATCCAAGAATACTCTATCCAGCAAGGCTATTATTCAAAATTGGAGGTGAAATTAGGATCTTCACAGCTAAGAAAAGGCTAAGGGAGTTTATTATCACCAAGCCAGCAACACAAGAAATGCTAAAGAGACTGTTGTAAAAAGAAGAAATATAAAGGTAAGAAGGAATACAGGCATAAAGAATTTAAAAATGGTAATAAACAAGCACCTATCAATGATAACCTTAAATGTAAATGGATTAAATTCCCCAATTAAAAGACATGGGGTATCTTAATATATAAGAAAAAATGACCCATATTTATATACTGTCTACAAGAGACTCACTGCAGAATAAAGGACTCACACAGATAGAAAGTGAATGGATGGAAAAATCTTTCAGGCAAATGGAAAAAATAATCTGGGGTAGCAATACTTATATCTGACAAAATAGACCTCAAAGTGGAGGCCATAATAAGAAATAAGGAAGGCTATTTCATAATACTAAAGAGATCGATTCAACAAGAGGATATAATTCCGGTAAACATTTATGCACTTAATACAGGAGCACTCAAATACATAAAAATACTTCTAGAAGATATCAAGGGAGAGATCTACAGCAATACAATCATAGTAGGGTACTTGAATACCATATATACATCACTGAACAAATCTTTTAGACAGAAATCAACAAAGAAACAGCAATTGTAAACAACTCACTAGATCAGATGGAACTAACTGATATCTTCAGAACATTTCACCACAAAGCCATGTAATATACATTCTTCTCAAGTGAACATGGGCCATTTTCAAAAATAGACCACATATTAGGTACAAGCAGAAGTCTCCCCAAATTCAAGAAGATTGAAATCATACCACGCATACACATGAAAAAAAAAATAAAACTTGACCACCAACTTACACCATATGCAAAAATAAACTCAAAGTGGATAAGTGATTTAAATGTAAGACAGGAAACTGTAAAAATTTTAGAATAATCCATAGACAGCAAAATATCAGACATATCTCCTAGCAATGTTTACTGATACATCTCCTAGGACAATGGAAACTAAGAAGAAAATAAATTAGACTACCTCAAAATAAAAAGCTTCTGCACAGCAAAAGAAACCATCATCAAAATAACAAGAGAGCCCATTGCATGGGAGAACATTTTTGCCAATGTTACATCTGATAAGGGTTTAATCTCTAAGATTTATAGGGAAGTCATACCACATAACAAAAGGAAGATAAATAATCCAATTTAAAACAAAATGGGCAAAGGACCTAAATTGACACTTCTCGAAAGTGAATGTACAGAAGGTCAAAGGCATATAAAAAAATTCCCAACCCTAGCCGGTTTGGCTCAGTGGATAGAGCATCGGCCTGCGGACTCAAGGGTCCCAGGTTCGATTCCAGTCAAGTGCATGTACCTTGTTTGTGGGCACATCCCCAGTAGGGGGTGTGCAGCAGGCAGCTGATCGATGTTTCTCTCTCGTCGATGTTTCTGACTCTCTATCCCTCTCCCTTCCTCTCTGTAAAAAAATCAATAATATATATATATTTTTTAAAAGAGGTCCTCAGTTACTTATGTACCCACAACACACACACACACACACACACG